AGGCTGGTCTCGGAGAGCAGAAATTCCGCCAGGCCCTTGGTGGCCTGCCGGACCTGGCAAAGGCAGAGGCATCGGAAGCGGAAGCTGGAAGGCGAGGCCACAGCCGAAACCCGACAAGGGTACCAAAACGGGTCGGAGTCGGTGAAATCCGCAACGGGTCTCTCTTTGAGCGCTCCCAAAACGGGTCTCTTTGAGACCTCTTTAGGTCTTTGCGTGGTGCACAAGGCATTGTAGGCGGTGTCGAGATGGGCTGAATAAGAGCTGCCACCCACATGAGATGGGCTGAATAAGAGCTGCCACCCACATGCACCATGGTTGAAACATTGGAAACTTTGAGATGGTGCTCCCTTAAACAAAACGTGCCCTCCTGGTGGCTGAGGCCCTTGAAGCGTCAGAGTGGGAGGGAGAGCGTGGCTTGCACATGCTTGCACCATGCGACAGACGGAGCAGGGTCCAACTGTTGCTTAGTCAACGAGACATCAGCTGCACACCTCTAGTCTTTCCATGGCCGCATTCTTTGTTTCACATACTGCCCACTGTTGGCAAGGAGAGCGGTTAGGTGTCAGAGTTGAGAAAATGATTCATGTTTTGTTTCTCCGTGGTTTGGCAAGAATTCAGGAACTGCAATCTCTGCAGCGCCCTGCCTCCACCAGAAACTGCAACATCTGCGAAGCCGCCAGCCTGACAAATTGCTTTGCTACGCTGCTTCAGCTGCAGGGTGGCCGAACAATCTTCTGCAGGGGTCTAGCCTTCCACTAAGAGCATTGGAGCTGAACGTGCATCAGACTCAAGCGGCCAAATCCTCCCAATGCTTCCATATCGACCTGCCTTGGGATTTGACTCAAAGGGGTCCGTGGCTTAGAGGTGTGCACAAACACATTTAGCAGCTTGCAGATGGTAAGGCTATGCCCTCTTGGACTGGACAACCGGGTGACCGCGTTATCATGCAAACTGCGAGTGGCACAGGTGAGCCATTCACGGGCAGTGATAGCCTCCGAACCTACCATGGGCACACCGGGCAGGTGCCTCGTGATCCTCGTTTAACCAGGACTCAATCTATTTCTAGCCTGAACCAGCAAGCATGTTCCCCAATAGCAAAAGGTCGAACAGAGTTGGTGGAACGAATTTCCAGGTGTTGCAAAGATGAAGCACCACGGTCAACCAATCACCACCGCGGCCCTCTCTGGACATCCCTTGCGGAACGACCGGAGTATAGCCAGCAATGGACGTCCAGTTTGAGACGCGCTTGGCCGAGTGCCTGCGGCCGCCGTTCACCAACTCCACTGACACATCCTCAGCAAGCGGAGCCATGCTTTAAACAAAATCCAACTAAGCAAGCGAGTGCTCGACTGACCTGCTCAGACTTGTCTTAGGCAAAGGCCTCTGGAGCCACATTCAGCGATTCCGACACCGCCTCAAGCGCAGGATCGGCCAAGCTTTGCCACCCAAAATGAAGCCGGAAGTTCCGTTCATTCTTTGACAAGTTTGTGATGGTGCCTGTGTGGGTCAAGCACCAAACTTGTTTTGATATTGTCAGGCTTCCCAAAGCATCACGGGTGTGCACTTGCAGCAGCCAATCTTCCGAAGCCTTCCGACAACAGCTTCCACGCAATTTCTTCGTGGGCACCAATAGGAAACGAGGACTTGTCCGGGGTCCGAATTTACCAGGGTGAGAACATTCAATGCTCCACAACAGCTCCTGTCCAAGCCAGTGGCTTCCTGCAAAGATGCCGCCACCGCATCCGCCTCAGGCTCTCCAAATGTGTCGGATGGCAGTCCAACGGAAACTAACGAAACCAACGATGCTTGAAGGGCTCCAGATGCACCTTCCTATTCAAGGCGGGTTTTAAGTTCGGTGCCTGTTCGTTAGTAGCAATGTCGAAGGAATCTCTACTCATAAACTCTGCAAACAGCGGACAACTGGCAAGCCAAACCATCAGTGATAAGGACTGAGAGGGGCGCCCTCTGCTGATTTTTTTTTAGAGAGAGATCAATCATTCTTTGTGCAGGCTCCCCCATTTCAGGAAATACATGGGGAGGGATCAGGCAAAGCCTGCAACAGCTCAGGGCTTCGTACCTTGTTGCGCGGAACGTTTTTTGGCGGGAATCATGATCGGCTCAGGAAGAGTGCTCATGGCTTTTGCCCAGTTCGACTTTGATACCGCTTCGCATGATACTGTGGGTGGACGAAATCCTGCACCACTTGGGAACCATGGGAAACCATTGTTTGTTAGTAGTTACAAGGGAATCATCATGCCAGGGATTCTTAGGTGGTGCAGGATTTGGTCCACCCACAGTAGTGCAAGATGATTTTGCAGGATTTCCCAAACACCAACCCAGTTCTACAGCTTGTTTGTCAAACGTCGCCATTTTGAGAACAGGGCAGCGACAAAACTCATCGACCCCCAAGCAACGCTATGGGGAGGGGGGCTATCCCATATTAAGCCCTTAATAAGGCTTGATTAGGGTTTATCCTTGGCTTTTCCACCCCATAGCCCCCCCGAAGATTCCATGAAAAACGGAAAGATCCGCCTCAGCCCCCAATAGAAACCACTTCACCGGCCACCTGCTGCTCACTCGCCTTCGGCTTTTGGGCCCCCGGCGTCTGTGCCTTCGCCCACCTCCAGCGTCGCCTCGAAGCTGGCCGGCTCCGCCAAGGTCTCGGAGCAGACCTCGCCGGCAGAGGTTCTGGGGAAGAGTCCCGGTGGGTCAGCTCGATTCTTTTTGGGAAGTCCCCTCTTTTGGGGGAAGTCAGCCATTTTTGGGGAAGTCCCCGCTATTGGGGAAGTTCCCACTTTTTGGGGAAGTCCCCGTTGGGAAGTCCCCACTTTTTGGGGAAGTCCCCGTTTTTGGGGAAGTCCCATTTTTGGGGAAGTCCCACTTTTGGGGGAAGTCCCACTTTTCGGGGAAGTCCCATTCTTGGGCAGTGGTGAAAAAAAAACGTCCCGTTTTTGGGGCGTCCCCGCTTTTTGGCCGGGCCGATCATCCAGGGTCGAAAACTTCGGGGCGCCGTCGTGGCTGATTTGGATTTGCTTCTGCTTCCAATACGACGAAGCGGTGAGAAACCCAACATCGCAACATACCGAAGAAAGTTACTAGCAACTCACTGCCAAGAAAAAGAAGCAACACCTGTGAATCGCTATTGTATGCAACGAGGACATTGATAACGGCCCTTGCAATGGAAAAAAACAGCTTGTTGAAAGGCGGGGGGTGCCCTTCGAATGGGGATCCTGAATGAGTTTGAAACATCCTCTGCATGGGTTGATCTATGCGCTCAAGGGCACTGGTGTCTCTCTTTTGAGCCATCCAAAAGGTTTCCCAAATACTTCTGTGCCGGCAGTCAAATCCCCAGCAGCCACAGAACTCACCTGGATGCACACCCCGATCCCAGTTACTCAGGTTTGGGTTTCGCATTTATCCCTGGCACCCGAACTCTCAAAAAGTTATCACCATGACAACGACCTATTAGTTCTACGCTTCCTCCTAAAATACGGCACTTGTGGGAGGTTACGTGGACGATCGGCTTCCTCTTGAAGAAACCCCCCTGTCTGGTGCCATGTGGGAGGGAGGTCGCGCGTTGCAAGAGAGGGCCGCCGCGTGAACAGCTCTTCAGTCAGCCCGGCCTCCAGGTCACAGGTGGCCACATTGGTTGGCTGTCGGTCCGAGCAATCCTGGCTGCGTCAAACTCTGGAAAGGTATGCTTTGCAACAATGGCGGACCCTTTGGCGGACACCATTTGGGGATTCGGGGTCGGCATCCTGTGATGCAAACTAGCTAGCATTGCTCTTGCAAAGGAGGTGTCCCTATTTGAGGCAAAGAGGAAAAAGGCAAGCCCGGGTCCTAGCTGATCCAGTTACAGTATTCCATTGAGGGGCAACAAGGGAGTGTGCCACCGGTAGAGACATGATGACATGTAGTCATGGCAGTTGAACACAAACTAAATAGCCGTGTCTAACGTTTACCTTCTCTGGTAGATATCCTGGATGCACAGAAAGTTTGGATGCAATAACCCATCTCCACCCTCTCAAACTGCAGGAATTACGCACGGTTGGCCAACCAACGCATTGAACCATGCTTGAACCACCATTGTTCCCACATTGGATTGTCTTCTATGTCTCTCTTCGAAAGGGGCCCGTGAGTTGCTCTCAACCCTGCCACGGGTCCTCGTCCAGCCCACTTTGACAGTACACCGCGCGCACGCGCTGGCCACAGGTTCCATCGCAGGCAGACCAGTTGCCGACCTGCCAGCAGATAGCAGCTGCGCGCTCGATGGTATTCAGGTGTTTTCTTTTTTTGTTTTTGTTTTTTTGTTTTTTTTTTTTTTTCCGGAGGCCAGAAACTTCAAAAAGAAGCATGCCTTACACTCACGCATGCTACCTAAAGTGCACGACCAGCCTCCCTTTTGGCCCTCTTGAAACTGTCGGGAAGAGGTGCCTAGGTTTGACACGTTCCCGCAAAAAAAAAAAAAAAAACGTCTGTGAATTGGGTCAGCCCGCTCCCCTTGAGGCAGCAGCAATCCACGAGCATCCGCTGTTCTCAGAGCAGGTCTCATAAGTTACCGGTGACTCGCCGCAATCCTCGCCGGATGTGCGCGATGCCATCACCAAAACAACTGCTGCGGGATATGGTCGTGGCGCTTTGTCAAGCCCCCAACCAGCATCCAGGTGTCTTCCGGCCGCTGAAGGCTTACACTATGAAAAGGAAACCGTTCGTGCCCCAAAAGGGACATGTGTTGAATGCAGCCCCTTTGACAGGCGTATGGGGCTCAAGAATGCATCAAGCGAGTCATAATCAAAACCTGGTATTAAAATTGTTGGCCCAGAACCATGAAAGGAAATACAAAGGCGGCCGCAGCTGTTTCTGGCTGGGACTGTCCCTTACTAACCTTCATCCACCCGCGTTTTGATTGTGGCTCAAGTTACTTTCCCATTGCTGTTGCTGATCTGAAGCAACGCACCACTGTCATTGCATGTCACCGAGAGCTTAAACAATCAGCACTAACCATACACACACAACATAAATGCCATAAGCTTTTCTGCGAGCTGCCATCGAACTCCCGCTGTGGCGAGCGGCGAGGGGCAAATGTCCAAAAGCTTCGTCCCTTGCTGCTACGTAGTGAACGGAGGAAAGACACCAAAGAACCTCGTTTGGGGCAAGGGATCTGAGAAGTCATTCAACCGCCAGTCCTGCGCTGATCCAGACGGGCATGACCTAAAGCGAGTTCGTGTATGCCGCTTTGGCAGAGATGGGGTTGCCCGGCATGACAAGTCAGGCCGTGAGCTATGTCTCGCTTTTGTTTGCTTTTAATGCCAACATACCAACCCGCAAGGTTAAGCCATCCGTATCATGAGGAGGGGCATGGCATAGCGTGGAGAAAAATGGAGGGGAGGGGAGAAACTAACTGTTCGCAGTGCCACAATTTGGCTGCGCAATGGAGCACGGAGCAATGAGCAATCACATTGGACTGCTCACAAACTAACTGTAGGACTGCAAAGGTGAAGCAGAGGCCGACATACGGGCCAAGAACTTCTAGGAACCTTTGTCGTCCCAATATCAAGGCAAAGCCTGACGCCCCATCGCAACGAGCTTCGGGCACAGATCTGCTGCGGACGCCGTTGCCGCAACCTGGCACTCACATGCCCTACATGGGAGATTGAAGCTGAACGTGTCAATGACCGAGGGCACCTCCCAATTGGGTATGGTTCCTCGTTGCTGTGTCGTCATCCCCATTGCTTACTGGCGCCAAACAGAATGTGCCGCTACTTTTGCCCTGGCAGACTTCCTCAATGATTGGAGCCCGGGTATGAATCTTGAAATCTTGATGGGACCCTCTGGTGTGATTCAATTTACGTAAAGTTGTATGTCCATCTACCTTTTTGAAGGTGCTCCAACCATCAAAAGTCGTATTCGTATGGGTGCTTCGGCTCACTGTAGGGGTAAAAGTCAGGGCTGGGTCAACCTCTTGTTCAAAATTTGACCCACTGCCATTTAAAGAATCTCCTTCTGGTTTCCTTTTGAAGGGGGGCCATGGGCCCCTACTTTTGAAACCCATTTTGCCCAACCCTCAAGAGGGTGGCCGTCCCTTTGGTCTCCTCGTACACCGTCGTTCTGCTGTCCGACCAAAACCGGCGGGCGGCTGGTGCTGCAGGAGCTCCAGCTGCCCAGCTGCCACTCGCAGCCGGAGACCTCCACCTCGAGTGGATCTGTGGGCACCCTCGAGTGGATGGATCTGGCCACGCGCTCAATACGCATGGCACTTGGAGAGTGCGACCGAATGGGCCACAGTTGCGTTTTCCATGGAGCCAACTGATTGTTGCCAAGTAGTACTATAGTTCACAAAGCTGCTTTCAGAAATCCCTCCATCAGGCGTGAGCTCGTTTTCGCAGGTGAGATCGCTATGATTGATGCAAATTGATGGTGAGAAAGAGAGTTTAAGGATGGCAAAGGAAACTTTTGGACCCTATATGTCGAGGAAACGCCAAGGAAAGATTCTGAAGGAGAATATGGGGCAAGGGGCACAAACGAACCCAAAGGTGACCCAACTGGGTGGTTGGCAGGCCGGCAGACTTGGTAGGGCCTCTTGAGCAACCCCCTCTCGGCAAGTTCACCAAGGGCGGATGCCGCGACATGGTGACAATAATATGAGCCACATCTGCTGGATCTACTCCTATGTATTGCATGTCGCAAATACCCGAGCGGGCACCATCCCTATCTGCGTTGCGTTTGTTCCGAACATGTCTGGGCCCACTTCTGGACGGCCATCACCCCACTCTCGCCAGGTATGCAACTGTGTGCTTTATGGGTCAAAGACCCAGAGATTTGGGGCTTCTGAAAACATGGCGGGTGGGACGAATTGAGAAGAAATGACCCCCCCCCAAGACCAAGCAACTTCATTGGCCGGCCGCTTTGGTGCCCGGCGCAAGCTTGCTCCGTCACAGGGCCGTCACCCTGGCAGGTGCCATCCTGGGCCAAGAGAAGAGGTGCAAGGGGTTCATCAGAGGTGCCAAACAATGGCCAATTTCCTGTTGGCTGCCCTTGCAACACCATCCAACAGATCCCCGAGTTCGCGCTAGCTGACGGCTAGTCCTAGCAGGATGGTTTCAAGGTTTGCAAAGGTTTCTGGGTACCTACCCTTCTCCGAGAAAATGTTGAGTCGAAAACAGTTGCAAGGCCGCTGGCCGTAAATGAACCTTCAAGCCGAGCACGTTACACAAATTTAAAGAAACCAGCCATTTGCGCGGTCCCAAGTGTTGGCGATGAAATAACCTTCAGATCCGCAAATCCACAAAACGGCCCATCGGCCCATCTCAGGGAAAACACACCAGCAAACCAATAAACAAATGAATAAACAAGCAAGCAGGCAAACAAACAAACAAACGAGCAAATGCTCGACCAAGTGGATCTGCCTAGGAGCAAATCGGCTGTGCCTTCAAAACAAACTCGGGAAAGTCGGGGCACTTCCAAATGATCCAATTCCCGCCCTGCTTCCCCTTTCCTCTTGGTTTCCTTTGCATGGCTTCCCTCGCCCTTGTCGGGTGACCATCCTAGCCTACAACCCCACTTGCAACAGAATCAACTCCAGGGCAAAACTTTCAGGTGGCTTACCACCGAATCGCTCAGCTCAAGCCACGAACTTACCCGCCCCAGGCCTGGCACAGCACCTCCCGCGTTTGGACCCCGGAGCCGCAGGTCACCTGAACTCAGCTCGGCCGGCTTCACCAAGGCGAAGCCACTAAGCTGAAGAGAGAGAGAGAGAGAGAGAGAGAGAGAGAGAGAGAGAGAGAGAGAGAGAGAGAGAGAGAGAGAGAGAGGGAGAGAAAAAGAAAACATGACTTGTCCCAAAAACAGGGTGAAGGGTTGGGAGTTCGGTTTGGGGGGAGGGGGATGGGGGTTCTTGGTTGTTGAGGGTCAAGGTGAAACTAGCTGGGTCAGTCTGCGTGATTGAGGACTTGGGGAGCAACATGACAAAGCCCCATGCCATTAGGCTCATAGGTTGCATGGTTGCGCGCCTGTTACCACATGCGTTTGCCACGTGGTCACTACTTTCTGCTCCCCTTAATTTATAGCACGAACTCAAAAAGCCACAGCTCCCTCACCCTCGATCGACTCTCGTCGGCAAAAGCCAAGCCTTGGTGACAAAACTAGCTTTTTAGGCAACCAGAATCCCCTGATCTCCGTAGACGGATGCAGCCACCAGCCACTGGACAAGGCCACTAGCTAAGGCCACCAATAAGCAGGCCAGGGCGGCATTGCAAGCAGACCACTCGCTGACCTCAGATCATAGGGACTGCAGTCTCAAACAAATTTGCTCAGCTGAGCCATTTGAGGGTTGGATGTTCCCAGAAAAGAACCAACAGTGGGTGCCGGAACTTTAGGTCAACAACCACTAGGTCCAGGTTTAAGTGGTTTGACTGCTGAGTGCTTCCACTGAAGGGACAACCTGCTGACGCGTCCTGAAGCAGAGAGTGGATCGACTCAAAGACTCCTCCCAGCCCTGTTTGAATCTCCTCGTACAACTAATTGTTGAGGCAATATTTTGCGTTTCGCAATGGCTTGCCATTCATGTCCTCACCACCTTCCTCCGGACCCCGTTCAGGTTGCTGTCGTTGGGAGAGTCTGCACTGACACCCAAGCCAACTATAACTTGAGTTGGATTCGGGAGGCATATACACCCTAGGCCGCCTAACCCCTTCCAGGGTAGGCCTCCCCCGTATGATCTGCATTATGTGTGATGCTGGCAATGCTGGGCTTAATCCTACCCTTCACCAACACACACCAAACCAGCACAACCCCTAACCCTAAATCAACCCGAACCCCAAACCCACCCTAAATCCACTCATTCTAAATCAACCCGAACCCCAAACCCAACCTAAACCCACCGCAAACCAACTCCACACCACCCAAGAACTATATAAATGTATTGAGCTAACGTGTCATTGTTTGAGCGCATATGTCCCAACTCTACCCCTCGGCAACCCCTGAAGCACCGAAACCAGACCCCCCCTTTTGGCCTTGGCCGCCCGGCGCTCCAGTTCCCGCACCCCGAGGTCTCCGTGCAGCTCTCCGCGCCGTGCGGGGCCGTGCCCGAGCACTCAGCCTGGCGAGCAGCCGCGTGATGAAGCCACAAGGACAGAGCAAAAGGAGCCCAGGTTTGTGACAGCGGACCTGAAGGAGTCCAGGTGTTTTGTGACAGCCAACGCACCTGGCCAAGACCCCAACCACACCCCACCACCCGGCGCTTTTTCGCGTGCCTCCACGCCGCTCTCGCAGGCTACGCTGCGGTTGATCCAGCCATCGCCGCAGGAGGTTGAGCAAGCAGACCTGGTCTGATTCACATCGCCCTTCACCCACAACAGGAGCCCTGGATTGAGAGACCAGTTCTAGAAAGTCGGGACATGCAATCCTCAATAATGAGGACCCCCCAGCACAGGAACACTCCGTGACTGTGGATGAATCTTTGACCGATTCTCAACTGCATGCGATGTACTTACTGTAAGCGGCACTGATGGAAGGCGTGCACAACATCTTGGTCACGCTGTTGAGTCCTGATGCTGTGGTTTACAGAATCACGCTAACAGGCAGCAGTCTTCCGTCAGAAGAAACCTCTGTGCGAAGCTCCTTCTCTCCAATGACCGTTTGTTTTTGTAATGCCACTAATCCTCCCCAGAACGTACAAGGCTTTGAACGTAAAGGTTTTATCTAAAACCATGTATTCAACGGCCAAGGCCAAATATGTGATAGCAGGGCTCAACGTGACAGCTGTGCGTCGTGACTCTGGCGCTGGCTTCTTCAACGATGCCCATGCGAGTTGTATATCAATGATCCCTACTCGAGGGTCCATCCAGAGGAGAAGCCCGCGGGCACGCTAAACAGGGAGGCCACAAGTACGAGACCAATCGGCAATGTTGGACTGCGCTCATCACGTCCCACTTCAAGGCTGCTTGCCAAGGACAGGACATCAGCTGTGTGGAGGACACGGCTCGTCACTTGTTGGAAAAGCTCATCTGGAAACCAACGTACCAGATCGCAAGGGGAGCCAGAGGCGGTCAACCAGAGAAAACTATAATCTTCCATGGCCCCCGTATGGCTGCAGTTGCCTTACAGGGAGACCCAAGCGAACTCTTCCAGTGGAGTGTTTTTTTTCTGCGGGCACTTTTGGGATCTGAAAGGAAACCCGGAGAAAAAGAATCGTTTGCGGGGCTTCCATTTGGAAACAATTGGGGACATTCTCCAAATCTCCGACACTCCCAAAGCAAAGCCCCGGCCAGGATGAGACCTGCCACGTACAGCCCGCCACCTGACGAGCGAGGCGTTTTCCATTTTCCATGCACTTGTGAAAACCCTTGCGGCGCTCTCCGTGATACACTATTTACAGGACTATTTACCACGGTCATCCATTTACATCAACAGGATCCTACTGAAATAGATCCAGGGCACACAGAGAACTGTTAACTGTTGCCATCGACGCTTCCTCTTTAGCAATGAACAGGCTTGGGATTGCGGAGCCTTGGGGGCGCCTCCGGGAATCGAACCCGGTTTCTCAAGGATATCAGGCGATAACACCTCACCCTTTCGAGATATTGTGGTAGCGGAGCAGGTTTTTCAGAAGATCCAAATCAAGATGTCGTCCAATGCCCCAATGGAGAAGGCTTCATGGAAGCCTATTCCAGGCAGGCCAATCTGTCGGCATCACTGAAGAGAATTTCAACTTATCGATGACCGCCAAGCAGTATGAGGAACTTGTGGATGATTGGACTATATTCACCACGATCGAAGCATCAACTACTTCAAGAACACGCTGAAGAAATACTTCCTGAAGGGAACGACCAGCGTGTGTCTGTGCCGACTTCTCAGTTTCTTCAATCATCGACGACAGAACTCGAAGTTCCTCGTGCTCACCAAAATTTGAAACCCTTCTTGTCCAGCACCAGCAAGCTGCCGGTGCCAGGGCGCCGCCTCCACCTCGCTTACCGCAGACGAGCCAGAAGTACTGAGACAGTACATTAACGGCACGCAGACAAGCCACAGGGACGCGCTTCCACTCAATGACAATCTCATCGACTATCTTTATCATCCAGAGGCGAACTGTCAGATCAGCAGAGAGAACGCCTGGTCAAAGGAAGTTTAACAAGAAACTTCCGTAGTACTGGAACTAAATGAGCTAGCTGCTTTGACATATAGCTATGACAGGTAGCTAGCATGACAAATAGATAGCTTTGACATATAGCTAGCTTGACAGATAGATAGCTTTCCAATAGGCTTGCATGACAGATAGATAGCTTTGACATATAGCCAGCTTAACACGTAGATAGCTTTCTCAAGTATAGATTTCGTGGCAGGCGCAGCACTTTCGCAAGCACTCTCTGCGAGCTGGGGGATGGCAAGATGCAGAAAAAAACGTTGGCGCTGTGCGTGAATTGGGCTTCCGGACTGTGCGCAAACCACCTCGGCTGCGACGTGCCGGCGGCGGTGGTCTCGGAACGGTCTCGGAACGGTCTCGGGAACGGTCTGGAACGGGTTCGGAGACGGGCCCATTGGCACGGCCGCGCGAAGGTTTCGCAAGGTTTGAAGCGTGGCAGGCGCAGCACTTTCGCAAGGTCAAGTATCGATTTCGTGGCAGGCGCAGCACTTTCGCAAGCACTCTCTGCGAGCTGGGGGATGGCAAGATGCAGAAAACGTTGGCGCTGTGCGTGAATTGGGCTTCCGGACTGTGCGCAAACCACCTCGGCTGCGACGCCTGTACGGTCTCGGACTTCGGCGGTCTCGGAACGGTCTCGGAACGGTCTCGGACCGGGTTCGGAACGGGTTCGGAGACGGGCCCATTGGCACGGCCGCGCGAAGGTTTCGCAAGGTTTGAATTGCGTGGCAGGCGCAGCACTTTCGCAAGGTCAAGTATAGATTTCGTGGCAGGCGCAGCACTTTCGCAAGGTCAAGTATCGATTTCGTGGCAGGCGCAGCACTTTCGCAAGGTGCTGCGTCCACTCTCTGCGAGCTGGGGGATGGCAAGATGCAGAAAACGTTGGCGCTGTGCGTGATTGGGCTTCCGGACAGTGCGCAAACCACCTCGGCTGCGACGCCTGTACGGAGGCGGTCTCGGAACGGTCTCGGAACGGGTCTTCGGAACGGGTTGGTTCGGAGACGGGCCCATTGGCACGGCCGCGCCGAAGGTTATCGCAAGGTTTGAATTGCGTGGCAGGCGCAGCACTTTCGCAAGGTCAAGTATAGATTTCGTGGCAGGCGCAGCACTTTCGCAAGGTCAAGTATCGATTTCGTGGCAGGCGCAGCACTTTCGCAAGGTGCTGCGTCCACTCTCTGCGAGCTGGGGGATGGCAAGATGCAGAAAACGTTGGCGCTGTGCGTGAATTGGGCTTCCGGACTGTGCGCAAACCACCTCGGCTGCGACGCCTGTACGGCGGCGGTCTCGGAACGGTCTCGGAACGGTCTCGGAACGGTCTCGGAACGGTCTGGGAACGGGTTCGGCGACGGGCCCATTGGCACGGCCGCGCGAAGGTTTCGCAAGGTTTGAATTGCGTGGCAGGCGCAGCACTTTCGCAAGGTCAAGTATCGATTTCGTGGCAGGCGCAGCACTTTCGCAAGCACTCTCTGCGAGCTGGGGGATGGCAAGATGCAGAAAACGTTGGCGCTGTGCGTGAATTGGGCTTCCGGACTGTGCGCAAACCACCTCGGCTGCGACGCCTGTACGGAGGCGGTCTCGGAACGGTCTCGGAACGTTCCTCGGAACGGTCCTCTCGGAACGGTCTCGGACGGTTTCGGCAACGGGCCCATTGGCACGGCCGCGCGAAGGTTTCGCAAGGTTTGAATTGCGTGGCAGGCGCAGCAACTTTCGCAAGGTCAAGTATAGATTTCGTGGCAGGCGCAGCACTTTCGCAAGGTCAAGTATCGATTTCGTGGCAGGCGCAGCACTTTCGCAAGGTGCTGCGTCCACTCCTGCGAGCTGGGGGATGGCAAGATGCAGAAAACGTTGGCGCTGTGCGTGACTTGGGCTTTCGGACAGTGCGCAAACCACCTCGGCTGCGACGCCTGTACGGAGGCGGGTTCGGAACGGTCTCGGAGCGGGTGCGGAACGGGTTCGGAAACGGGCCCATTGGCACGGCCGCGCGAAGGTTTCGCAAGGTTCGTGAGTTGCAAGTGCAGATTTCGTGGCAGGCGCAGCACTTTCGCAAGGTCAAGTATAGATTTCGTGGCAGGCGCAGCACTTTCGCAAGGTGCTGTATCCACACTCTGCGAGCTAGGCGATAGCAAGATGCAGAAAACGTTGGCCCCGTTCGTGAATTCGGCGTTGCGACGCCTGCTCGGCAGAGGGTTCGGGGCGGTCTCGGAACGGTCTCGGCAGAGAGACGGAGAGATCGACATGTTAAAGAAAGAAAGACTTAAAGACAGAAAGACAGGAAGGACGGAAAGAAAGACTGAGAGAAAGAGAGTCAGCGAAAGAGAGAAGCACGACAAGTGCAGGAAGCCGCAGAAAGACACGGCTCTGCAAGAGTAACTGTCTTTTGGCAGACTTTACGTGGCTCAAATGTAGTTACTTTCGTGACTTGGGCATTTGGCACACCTCACACCTGACCACGCAACTTGTCACACTTTACTCAACCCCACAGTCAGTCAAGCGCTCCAAGGGATGTTGTTTTGTGTTGTTCTGTTTGTGCAGAGAGTCACAGTCTGTAAGCAGTATTAGTGGCGCCCGTGTTTCCCCTCAGGGGGACTTTTTACAGACTACTCAGAAAATCAACAACGCATACGACTTTTTTTCAGAGGTTGGTGCTTCGGCCGGCCGCTTGCGCACCCGCTACTCAGGGCAGCTTGGCGTTTCGGCCGGCTGCTCGCGCCATGGATCGCGATGACAGCAACACTAGTGAGGACCGCTTTCAGGTCCTGTTGACCTACCTGGCGGCAAACGCCGCAGAACTGCGACAGCTGCAGTGCCAAGACATGGCCTCGCTTTTGCGCACTGGCGAGGCCAGGCGAGGCAAGCCGGCCATTCCAGACAGGGCCGCCTTATACCGGTTCCTTCAGAGACAGGGCCACGCTTTTACAGAGGGGCAGAGGGAGGAGCTCCGGGCATGGGAGGCTCGGCTGTGCGTGTCGCCCAAGCAAGCGCAGCCAGAGCTCCAAGATCAGTATGAAAGGTTTCTCGCGCTGCTTGAGAAACGAGCAGATTTTTTTATTAGCTTGCGCAAGGTGTCTTTGAAAGCTTTATTTGAAGTCCACGCAGCGAAGACCGACAAGGAGCTCGGTTCGGCAAAAACTTCATGCTTCGCTGCTACCCACAGCTTTCACAAGAGCAGAAGGACGAGCTGGCCGAGTGGGAGGCCATGCTTTGTGAGCCTGGCGAGGGCGAGCGCCTGGCGTTTCGGCCGGCGCTGCAGCGACAGCTGGAAAAGATTATCTGCTCAGCTCGAAAAACAGCTGAGTACTTGCAGGCTTGCAGAAGCCTTCGCATAAAGCTTTGTTTGAAGCGCACGACGTGAAAAATGATAAGGAACTCAAGTTCGGCCAAAATTTCATGCTTCGCTGCTACCCACAGCTTTTACAGGAGCAAAAGGACGAGCTGGCCGAGTGGGAGGCCATGCTTTGTGAGCCTGGCGAGGGCGAGCGCTTGCAGCAGCAGCAGATGCCCCCGCTGCAGCGACAGCTTCTGCAAGTTTATCGGGGTGCTTCCGAAAATCGAGGACCTCTTTTTGCCAGCTTACCGAAGCACATCGCTAAAAGCTTTGTATTGAAGCGCACGCCGTGAAAAAATGATAAAGGAACTCAAGTTGGACCAAAATTTCATGCATCGTGCTACCCACACAGCTTCCGCAGGAGCAGATGGACGAGCTGGCCGAGTGGGAGGCCATGCTTTGTGACGCTGGCGAGGGCGAGCGCTTGGCGTTTCGGCCGGCGCTGCAGCGACAGCTGGCGAAGTTTATCGCGGTGCTCGAAAATCGAGCTGTGTACTTGCAGAGCTTGCAGAAGCCTTCGCTTAAAGCTTTGTTTGAA